TTCAAACCCACCAGCCACTCCTCGGAAGGAAGGTTGGGCAATCCTACTTCCGTAGTGATACTGCCTCGGAAACCCAAGGAGGGGTCGCTATGAGTCGGGGTGACTCGACGGCACATAACAACAACAACAATAAACCATTAAATGTTAACATAAATAATCTTTTTCATACTTAAAAACTATCTTTTCCAAAACGAAAACAATTTAGAAGAGTAATATTCTTTTACATTTTTGTCATCTTTTTACTATCTGGCTTAATAGAAAGCAGCTGAATTCACATCTCTGTCTACATTCACTCTATTGCAGCATGTTATTTTGGCTGAAGTGTTTGAAGAAGATCTGAACTACTAGAGATTGAATTGTGTCCCTAAAATATATGTTGAAGTCCTAACCCCTGTACTTGTGAATGTGACCTTGTTTGGGGAAATAGAGTTTTCCTTTTCAGATGTTATCAGTTAAATTAATGAACTCATACTGGAATAGAGTGGATCCTAATCCTAACCCCTTCTGAGTGGCATCTTATAAAAGAGGAGGACAGACATGGACAGTGTGGGAAGACCGCATGTGAGAATTCATCTACAAGCCAAGAAATGGTTGGGCTGCTGAGAGCTGAAGGAGATAAGGAAGGATGTTTCCCTAGAGCTGATAGAGAGAGTGTTCTGGTTACCTAGTGCTGCTCTGACAAGAATATACCACAATGGGATGGCCTTAACAAACAGGAGTTTATTCTTACAATTTGGAGGCTTTAAGTCCAAGTTCAAAGTGCCAGGGTCTAGGGGCTGGGTGAAAGCCCCTCAACTTTAGGGTCCAGCTCTGCCTCCTGCTCCTGGCCCACTGGAGCTAGAGGCTTTTCTTCACTCAGATAGCTGCTGGCTGCTGAGGCTGACAAACCCAAGACTGACAAGTAAAAAGGCACAGTCCTGATGTTACCAAACCACATGGCAGGCCATTAATTTAAGTCCATCGTAAGTCCCAAAGTCAGCAGAGCATGGCAGGCTGCTGAACAACAACTACATGCAGAGTCCAAGCACGCCATAAGCTAGAGACCATTCCCCAAGGCTTCTGCTTATACACCGGAAGCAGACCACATTTCCTAAGACAGCTACTCAGCTGCTCCCCGTAGATTCCACCATGGAGTTGATTACCAATCTCATCAGGGAGAATACTACAACCAGCTGACAAGCCACTCAACCAGGCCCAGCCACGTTGACACACAAACTGAAGTACCATAGACAGCATAGCCTTTCCAATGTCCAGAATTTGGACTACTAGATTCCAAAGCATAAGAAAATAAAAGTTTGTTTTTTAAAGCCACCCACTTTGTGGTATTTTGTTATGGCAGCAGTACGAAACTAAGACATGGACCCACCCCGATATGTAGTTGGAAACAAGAATAGAATTTTAATAAAACCAAAAAAACCAAACCTACTGCCATCGAGTGGATTCCAACTCATAGCGACCTACATGGATTTCCAAAGCAGTAAATCTTTATGGAAGTAGATTCCCCCATCTTCCTTCCGCACAGTGGCTGGTAGGTTTGAACCACCAACTATCTGGTTAGCAGTCAAATGCCTTAGGCACCGTGCCACCAGAGCTCCTTAGAATTTTAATAACCTTTTTAAATAATTGTGAATTTTTTTTATAGAAATGCAAAATTCAAGATGCAGAAGTTTGCTCGTTAGTTGTGCCATGGAATCTGAAACCATATCAATGAACTTTTTATATTACATTACACTAAAATCCCTTAGACTATCTTGTGCTTAGAATGGATCTTTTACTTATCTATGAATTTGTGACATCATACACTTAGTCACTTAGAAAATATTGGGTCATTGAGATATACACACTAACACAATTAATTATACAATATCAAATATTGATCATACAATATAAAAATTGCATTAGACAAGATAAAACAAAACATCACTTTTGTTAATATCGTTACCTATATCTTCAGAAAGTATTTTGAGTATTAGGAAGTTGTCAAACTCATAGTAACAGATACAATTGTTGTTGTTAGGTGCTGAAGAATCGGCTCGGACTCAGAGCAACACTATATACAACAGAACAAAACACTGTAGGTCCTGCACCATCCTCACAATCCTTGC